AACGGTCAAGCATAGAAGTTTGTTTTAGAAGAGGCCATGGCACTAGGGATATCATTGCTGGTGTCACATGGATAGTAGTTTAAAGTAGACATGAGAAGAATGTCTATTCATGTTTTATCTATTATGGAGATGTGTTTATTTGACTGTGTGGATCATGACATATTGTGGCTAATATTGAGATGACTAGAAATCCTGAACATTTGATTGTGCTTATGTGAAACTTGTACCTAAACTGTGAAGCTCTTGTCCAAACAGAGCAAGAAAACATTGCATGGTTCAAAAATCAAGAAAAGAGTGCATCAGGGATATGTCCTTTCTCGATACTTTTCTATCTATATGCTGAACAGATCATATGAGAAGCTAGACTTTATGAAGGAGAATGTGGTATCAGACTTGAAAGAAGATTCACCAACAACCTGCATTATGCAGATGACACAACCTTGCTTGCTGAAACTAAAGAGGACTTGAAGCATTTGTTGATGAAGGTCAAGTACTGCAGTCTTCATTATGGGTTGCATCTCAGCTTCAAGAATAAAAGCTTACCACTGGGCCAGAAGGCAGCATCATGATAGATGTAGAACAGAGTAAGTGGTTAACACTTTCATCTTGCTCAGATCCACAGTCAACACTTTTGACTCCAGCAGTCAAGAAATTAAAATGTTAATTACATTGGGAAAATTTGCTGTAAAGGATTTCTCTAGAGTGCTGAAGAACAGTGATGCAGTCTAGATAGACACTAAGATGTGCCTGATCCAGGTTGTGGTCTTCTCAGTTGCTTGCTGTGCATCTGAGAGCTGGAGAATGACTAAGGATGACAGAAAAAGAACTGATACCTTTATGTTGTGGTGTTAGAGAAGAGTATTGAACATACCACGGACTATTAAGAGAACAAACAGGTCTGTACTGGAGAGGGTGAAACTTTCTTCCAAGTAGCTGCTGATTGATTCAAATCACTTGACTTTGTGTTGGCAGCACAACTCTCTAAGCACTATGCCACAAAGTTCTCATATATCGTAGTACCTAGAATATGTTTATATGTTTGTGTGGGAAAATTCAGTATAAACAAGTAACTGTGAGCTTGTAAGCTAAATTTGGGAGCTCTGGTGGCCTAGTGGTAAAAAACTGTGTTACACTCTCAAAGGCACACGCTAGTAATCCTCCGTTTGCTCTATGGGAGAAGGATGTTCAGTCTCCTCACTTGGGATTTCCTGCCTCTGAAAACTTACTGAAGAGAAAGCCAAGGATAGGTTCCGACTTGACAACACACAACAACAAGCTAAATAAAAGCAATCAAAGTGGAGTATTCGCTTCTAAAACTAACTTTCTAAAGTTGATATCTCTTTAACTCCTTGCTAAGATTTGTGAACTCCAGGCTTAGTTTCTTTAAAAATGCTCATTAGAAAGGAGTAAATCAGCAGCTTGCTTTAAAATATTTTAATTAAAAATTATCAATAGTGGTGTAAAAGTAAAATATTTTCAAAAGATTCATTTGAGATTGTTTTTCCCTATATCCTGACTATAATCTCTTTTCATTATGGTATCTTGTTAGCTGAGGTTCCATTGGCCCCCGACTGAAGGTGATTCCATGCCCATGCACAGTGCAGCAAAAATGTACCATCCACCACAGTCAGCTGTGAATCATTGTGGCCCTGAGGGTTTTCACTGGTTGACTTTTGTTAAGCCTTTCTAGTCTTTCTCTGTCTAAAATCTATTCTAAAACCTGTTCAGGAACACACAAACCTCCACTGAGACACAAATGATGGCCACAGATAGGCACATGGACTAGGAATCAAACCTGCATCACCTGCCTGGAAGGTGAGAATTCTACCACTGAGACATCTGCGCCCTCTTTCAAATGTCGTTGTTAGGTGACATCAAGTAATGACACATAGAGACCCTATGACCAACATATACAAATTCTGGCCTATCCTGTGCCTTCCTCACCATCTCTGAGACACCTGAACCCATTGCTGCAGTCTCCATGTCAGCCCATCTTATTGGGAGTTTTCCTCTCTTTTGCTGACACTCCACCCTTCCAAGCATGTCTCTCTCCACATGTAATAAACATTTATTATCATCAGAATCATCATGTTCATTTAAATTCAGTGACATTTTTAAAGATCCAAATTATTTTTTTCAAAATTTACCCTGATTCTTTCTTGTTTTTAGACAGGTAGTGTTGTTGAGTGTGCCATCGAGTCAGAACCAACTTGTAGCTGACCTTCCCGTGGGTTTTCAGAGGCAGTAAATGGCATGGGAAGAGAGTGCCCATCCTTCCTCTGTGAAGCTTCTGGTGGATTTGAACCACATGCATTTGGAATTGCAGCACACATTCTTCTCACTAGGCCACCAGAGTGCATTTTTGCCTTCCTTTAGTAGGAGAGAGTCATTTAATCTCTTAGTGCTGTCTTTTTAATTATTTAAGTAGAGAGAATATAACTTCCATCATGAAAGGGATGGATTACTTAGATTACTGTTTGTCAAGTATTATATTACGCCATACTTTTGAAAGAGTTCATGTTCTTATTTATGCTATTCTTTGGTCTCAGTTTAATTTTAGAATATTCTTTTTCTTAATTCTGTCCTTTAATTTCTCATTTACCAAAAGTTTAGTATTTAGGAAATGGGGAATATTTGCTCCTACAGAGTGATAATGTCTAATCCTTGTAGAAGCGTTAGAAATTTGTTCCTCAGATTCTCAGTAACACAGAGCTTCCCTTGTTATTATCTCCTTGGCCTCAGTCATGGGAATTGGAATCCTGAGGCAAAGCAGATCAATTGCTGACACATGCCTGTTGTAGTCATTTGGAAACTTAGATCATTCCTCATCTGTAATAAGGGGAAAAATAAAGATAGCTGTCATGATTTTTTTTGCCTTGATTATCATTAATCAGCAATGTTGGAGTCATAAGAAACTTGAAATATGCATTAATTACTGGCACTTCCTTCAAACTGTTTAAGATGATAGTATCTTCTGTAAAGAATCCTCAAAGTATAGTATTTAATGTGTTGGTCTAAACAAACGGTCAATAGCTCAAATCCTACCAGCCTACTTTCCAGGAGAAAGATGAGCAGTCTTCTTTCTTTAAGATTTAAGGCTTCAAAAACTAGATGGAAGGTCATTGTGAGTTGGAATAAACTCAGAGGCAGTGTGTTTTGTTTGCTTGTTTTAATTCTAATAAAGGTTAATAGTAATAAATCACATTCTAAAAGCCTCTTTACTCTTTAAAGAAAGATAGAAATGTGGAGCCATCCTATTGCTCTACAGTGATAACCTCCTACTTGTTTTAGGTTTTATCACTAGAGATCTTTTTTTCAATAAAAACCACTCATAGATCTCATTGTACAGATACACTAAACAAATATAATAGATTTCCTAAAACTATGGCAGAAAACAAGTATTGTTTTTATGTGCCATTGAATTGACTATGACTCAGTGCTATGAACAGTAGCCTGAACCCTGCCCTATCCTGAGCCAGTCACATCATCGAAGACATACCAGCCAGCCATATATCCATCATGATATTGCCAGTTGGCCAATGGTGAGAATCTTCGCTTTCTTGATGTTGAGATGCAGTCAGTCTTGAAGACTGCAGTACTTGACCTTCAGCAGCATATACTTCAAGTCCTCTTCAGTTTCAGCAAGCAAGGTTGTTGTCATTTGTGAAACCGGGTTGGTGATGAGTCTTCCTCCAATTCTTATGCCACATTGTTTATCAGAAGTCCAGCCTCTCAAATGATCTGTTCAGCATATATAGATTGAAAAGGTTTGGAGACAGGACACATCCTTGGTGCACTCTTTTCATGAACTATGCCATTTCCCCTTGTTCTGTTCTAGGTATAGGTTTCACATGAACACAATAAAGTGTTCTGGGATTCCCATTCTTCTCTATGCGAGCCACAGTTTGTTGTGTTTCACACAGTAAAATGCCTTTGTAGAGTCCACAAAACATACATAGACAGCTTACTGGTACTTTCTGCTTTCAGTCAAGATCCATCTGACAGTGGCAATGATAATCCCTAGTGCCATGGTCTCTTCTAAACCTAGCTTGTATTTCTGGCAGTTCTCTATTGACATACTGTTCTAGGCATTTATGGATACTCTTCAATGAGATTTTGCTTGCATGTGCTATTTGTGATATTGTTTGATGATTTCCATATTTGGTTGGATCACCTTTTTTGGAAATGGGAATAACTGTGGATCTCTTCTAGTTAGTTGGCTACGTAGCTATCTTCCAGATATCTTGGCCCCACCTGGTGAGCACATCCAGGACTGCATCTGACTCTTTTAAGTTCTTGATTCTTTTTATAAAAACAAAACTAAAAAATAAATAATTTTTTTTGTTTAGTTTTGTGTTATGGGTTTGTTGTTTGGTTTTTTTTTTTTTGTTGTTGTTGTTGTTGTTTGGTTTTTGTTTTTTTAAGAAAATAAGCCATGTTAACATTTCCCTGTATAACTTCCTGCTGAATATGTATCAAATCTTTTCAGTACTTGATTGAAGAAACTGGAGAAAATTTGATTTTGCTACTTATGTCTGACAAAATCTGCTGTTGAGAGATTTTTCAGGATAACTATTTCCTGTCAGCTTTCATTTCTATTTAACTTAATGAACATTGAGTAAAGTTAGAACTTATAAAACAGCGTATGATATAAAACTACCTTTAGTTTTGTGGGTGTTTTGTTTTTTTAACTACTTGTACAAGTTCACACCAGTTATGGTTTGTATATACTTTGCTCCCACCCCTTGCTCTCCTCCATATACATACTTTGGGAGGGTAGTTTACCTACTCACTTTTAATGATGTGTGTGTGTGTGTGTGTGTGTGTGTGTGTGTTATAAAGCTCTGAAAGGATTTGCTGTACCTCACTCAGTGATGTATTTCTACATTTTACTTTATTGATTACATACTTATGGCTTTATTACTTTAAAACATTATTTAATCATAAAATCATTATGACACATTCAATATTTTTGTCTTTTTTTTTCTTCTGGTGACTAGATACCTGTGGAGGGAGGGCAGGAACAGCAGGCCGATTCCAACAAAGGGCGGTGTCTGAGGAGGACTGTGAGTGTCCCTTCCGAGGGTCAGTTTCCTGAGTACCCACCAGAGGGCACCACCAAACTGGGTAAGCTAATAAATGTCAACATTTTGCCTGGTTATTAATAGATTTATGATTGTCACAGTAAACCAAAACATCCTCAATTTCCTGTTAGGTCAGAACATTGGTATCAATATCCTGTTAATGGAAAGTTAGAGATTATTAAAGAGTTCTGTTTTATATAACCATGTGACAGCCAAGTGACTGTATATAATTGGAATTTATCTCAGCACTAAATAAGATTGCATTTCAGTCCTAGGTATGTTGGATGATGTCTTTTTTTTGAACTTAACTGCTGGGCTCTTAATTTTGAAAGTACATTTGATAATATTTTGCAATTCTGAGTCTTAGAAGATTGCACTAGATTCTCTTTAAGTGGAAAGTGTGGAAACCATACCAAATGGCTTAAATGGGTCCTGTTCATACAGCCACTGATACTCTCTTGTATAGTGTAATATTAGATCAGGCTAATTTAACTGAACTGTGCATTTCTCAGTAGAGTTACATTAAGGACTCTAGTATGTGTGAGTAGCAGAAGAGAGAAATTAAAAAAAAAAACAAACACAAAACCAAACACAATAAAACACTCCACTTGAGTTGTTAAATACTAAGAGGATTGATGCTGTTATCAAAGTAATTCTCTCCCCTGTTTGCTATGAAATGTATACCATTGGGGGTGTTTTTCTTGTTTATTGTTGTTGTTGATTGCCATCGAGTAGAACACGACTAATAGTGACCCTATAAAATAATGCCTGAAGCCTTTCTATAGCTATAGTTATTTATCAAAATTTGTAGAGCTTCCAGAGGCAAGTTGTTTAGGAAGTTTCTTGTTTACCTGTGGATATGTAGAAAATTAGACCAGTAAGATAATTTTAAGGAAACATGCAACAAGTAAGATTAAAAAGCAATAAAATAATTTGAAAAGTTGGGAGAGCTTTGTATCTTGGTATGTTTGCTTATTGAGTCAAAGACATTTTGTTGGCAGGTAAATTAAAATTGTTTATTGGCACAGTGACCATGACAATGGAGTCAGATGTGTCAGACTGTGAGGTTGGCTCAAGATAGGGCAAAGTTCACAGCCATTGTTCATACATAACAACAACAGCATTGCCTCTGCAGTGTGATTAATTCTGTGATTTTGGTTATGCTTTTGAAAAATCAGAAGTTTTTTGTTTCTCTTTTGCCTTTTATTTCCTAAAGGAAACAGAATTGTTTGGTCAGAATTTACATTTTATATATTTTTTTAAAATAATTTAATTGTTTTTTGGTTTTGTAGAAGCTAGATAAGCGAATGCTTTTCTTTGAGGTCTCATATTTGGACAAGACAGACTTTTCTCTAATCTTATTTCTTTTGTACTTTTATGGTATGTGTTGAAACCAATTTTATGTGTGAGTGTAGATTATACTACAAACTCATTTGGTTGTAACTGGTTTTCCAGTTTGTTTTGACTTCACACATGTGTTTTATGTGACCCTGACTAGGATACAGTCACCTTCTTTCACCTTTTTTTGCTTCATTAGATACAACCTCAGGTTGATTACTGCCTTTTCCATACTCTCTAGTGTACTTTGCCTTTTATAAAGGTAAAGGCTCTGGCCCATAGAAATAAATGGATCTTAATGAAATGCAATCATTGTGAGAAGAATTATTGCCATATTACAGAGAAGAGAACTTGTAAAGTGTAAAATATCTATAGTGTTCTAGTTACTGATCCCAAAGATGAACTTAGAGGAAGTGGCAAACATATATTGTTCAGAGCCAGTGCTCCACCTCTGACCTTAGCTGCAAGTATAGTAGCCATTCTGTCTGTGGTCATTTTAGGAATAGATTTCTTAAATTAGCACAAGGAGATAGAATGTTAGAGAAAGAGACTACAAATGTTATTTGTAAGTTTTCTTCAAAATCATAATTACTCCAAAATTGATAAATGAATTATAAAATTCATATGAAAATTCCAGAGGCCAAGAATAAGTAGCTAACATGGAAGGTAAAAAGATTTAATAAAGGTAAGAAAATTTAATTGAGGTAAAAAGATGTAATCTACAGTATAATTTTACTTTTAAATTATATGTTATTGCCAAAAGTGACAGTGGACAGTGAATAAGGATAACAGAAGAATGCATGCCTTTGAGCTGTAGTGTTGGAGATGGAAGGCCAAAAGAACAAACAGATATGTCTTGGAGAGGGTTCAGCCAGAGTGCTTCTTTGAGGCAAAGTTAAGAAAGTTTTATGTCTCACAAGTTTTGGGCATGTTACTAAGAGAAACTATTCTTTGAAGAAGGATATTATACTTGGAAACGTGGAGGTTCAGCAGAAGAGAGGAAGACCCTCAGCGATAATGAATTGACAAAGGAACTGCACCAGTGGGGTCAAGTGTGTCAGAGATGCTGAGGATGGCAAGGACAGGTCAGGGTTCAGATCTGTTGTTCATTGGACTGCTATGAGTTGTTCTCCAATCGATGACAGGTAACAACAACAACAGATAATTTATAAGAGAACTCTGGTGGCTTAGTGATAAGGAGGTGTACAACCAACGCAGGAGTATGTGGTTCGAATTCACCAGCTGCTCTACAGAAGAAAGATGGGAAGTTTCCTTCCGTACAGTGTACTGTTTCTGAAAACCTGCTGGACGGTCGGCTATAGGTCCATCCGACTCAACAGTATACAACAACACAACAAGATAGTTTATAAAGTATTTTCAGTATATCAGTAATTTTTTGAAATGAGGCTTGGTGACACAGTAGCTAAGCATTCAACTGAATGATACAGTGATTTGAAGCCCCTCATTGCATCCACATTAGAAAACATTTAAATTTTAAGGTATTGTGTTTATGAGTGATCCAGCCTTCATTTACAGAAAGTAACAGTCCATGCATGTTTCTAGCTCTGAAAAGTTGAGCTCAGTGAAAAAGCCTCCTTGATTTTCCTTGAAATTTCTTATCAAAGTCAAATCTTGTTTCCCCTCCCAATAAACTAAACCATTTGCTTAAGTGAAAACAGCTACATAATATTCACTTTTTATATTTAGATTCCATCTGTGACACATTAGTATTTTGAAGAAAGAGTAATAGAACTCAAGAATGATCACAAACATTTATAAGATACAGATCCCTAGAGTAATATCCCCCGAGGCTTTTGGTTTGGCAGTTTTGAGTTGTCCTAAAAGCCACTGAGCCAGTATACATTTGTTCTCTTAAATGTGACTCTTTAATGTTGTTTGTTTGTTGTTAAATCTCCTGCCACCCATAGCGACCCTACCTCTGAAGCCTGCCCTTTCTGGAGCCAGTCTCATTGACTCCAACATACCTACCTTCATTACCTCAGTTAATGTATCAATCCATCTCATCCAGGGTCTTCCTCTCCTGCACTATCCCTCCACCCTTCCAAGCATGATGTCCTTCTCCAAGTATATGAAATGGAGCTTCAGAAACCTAGGCTCCAAGGAGAAACTTGGTTTCACCCTCTCCAAGACAGACTAATTTGTTTTCTTAGCAGTAAGAAATTCTTAATACTGATGATTTCAGAAGCATTTCAGAAGTATGGGTTTGGGCTTGAGTTAATGGATGGTGAAGAGATTGAGATTGTTCACAGCTTTAGTTTGTTTAACTCCACAGTCAAAACTCTTGGCACCAGCAGCCAGGAAATGAAAAGACGTATTGTCATGGGAAAGTCTGTTGTTAGAGACCTCTCGAAAGCACTGAAGAGCAATGGTGTCACTCTGGAGACTAAGGTGCACCTGATACAGGCCATGGTCTTTGCAGTCACTTGCTGTGCATCAGAGAGCTGAGCAATGACTAGGGAGGATAGAAGGAGAATTGATGCCTTTGAGCTGTGGTGCTGGATAAGAATATTGAATGTACCATGGACTGCTAAGAAGAACGAAGAGGTTCATTCTGGAGAGGGTTAAACCAGGCTGCTTCTTGGAGGCAAGGATTCTGAGGCTTTGTCTGATATGCTTTGGACTTGTAAGAAGGGACCAGTCCTTGGAGAGGGACATCATGCTTGGGAGGGTGGAGGGACGGCGCAGAAGGGGAAGACCCTCTATGAGGTGGATTGATTCAGTGACTGGAGTAATTGCGAAGGGTGTGTCAGAGACAGTGAGACTGGCACAGGACAGAGCAGAGTTTAGAGCTGTTGTGCGTAGGGTCGTTATGAATTGCAAGCCACTTGCCAGCACATAACAACAGCAACAGTCAATCTGACTCTTACAAAGCATACACAGTGTTTTAAAAATTGCTGTATAAAATCATACCATGAAAACCAAAGAGCTTATGAAAAAAAGAAAGAGGGGCGGGGGAGATACATAGATACAATTAGTCCAGAAGACTCATGTACCATGTGACCCTCAGCTTCTGTGACCCTGAGACAAGAGACACTAGATGATGCCCAGCGGGAACTGCTGACTGTTCTGAAACAGATCGTACGTGAAGGTCTTGTATAGAGTGGAGGGAAGTTGGAACCAAAGTGGAAAAACATAAAAATTGCTAGCGTTTACTGGTATGATTGAAACTAGTAGAACATGAGACTGTAGACTTTAGTCACTCTTAAAACCTGGAACAAAACTTACCTCTGTGACTCAACTTTCAGTTAAATAGTAGCACCAGAAAAGTCCTTTATTACTCTACCATGTAAACACAGAAGGGCAGCATTTCCCAAGGATAGCTCAGAAGACAAAGCGAGGTAGAATAGAAAGAGTTACGGAAATAATAATTACGAAAGTACAAGGAATAAAGTAGGAAAGATGCATTCACACTGTGGGTATTGTGATTAATCTTACAAAACAAAATGTGTCTGAATGGTAGAATGGGAACACAGTTTGCTTTGTAAACAAACTTTCACTGAAATCACAATTTAAAAAAAAACCCCAAAACAGTCACAAAGTTAAATAAATGATTGAGGATATAAAAATACTATAATCTGTTTATCCCTTTACCTGATATTTACTTGTGGTAAGTGGGCATTGGAAGATCTGTAAGATCCGAGGCCACAGAGTGTTGTTACACCAGCTGTGAGCGGTGCAGCTCAT